GTTTTCAGGCTAGACCTGTTCTATTCCCCACGTTGCCCAGGCTCCACCACTGCTATGCCAAAGACCACAAGCAGAAGAAAAACAGCAAAATCAGCATAGAGCAGGAAAGAAGCAGCCTGCGAGTCTAAGGCAGCGCTAGAGCCCTGCTGGAGTGAGGAGCAGGTAATAACAGAGGCAGACTTGCCAGCACCTGGGCATTTCTTAATCCCAACATGTCCCACTCACCCCTTCAAGCTCCCACCCCTTCATTGCCATTAGATGACTACAGCCTGGAGACAAGGCTGATCAGGATTAAGTTAGGAGGTAACAGAGAATGAGATAGCCCCGTTGTAATTCCAAAGACTATCTGCTTCAATATATTTCCAGCGCCCCAAACTCACTGGAAACAATCCAAGCTATAGCCTGTAAAATTTTCCCCTTTCCCAACTGTGCATTTGCTGTCAAGGTAGCAGATAACCTCATAGAGTTCACAGGCAGCATCTGGAAGATCCTTGAGTGTGTAGTAAGTTCTGTCATCAAAAGATACTTGGACATCACTTACCAGATGAAGCAGAATTCATGGACTAGACAGGAGAATTATTTAGAATTAGTCTAATATACTAAAAATGATAAGAGAAAATATTAAAAACATAAAGCTATAATTCATTGTAGAGAGAAAAATAAAATAAAATAAAGATTGACAGTAGAATGGGTAAAAAATTAATAAATTGGAATATCAAGATAAAGCACTCTGTAAAAAAGATAGGCACGAATAGATGGTAAATGAAAAAATATATCAAATGTCATGGTAAAAAAATCATATTTGAATCTCAGAAAAATCTATAGGGAAAAAACGAAGAAATAATTTTAAGAATTTCCAGAATTAAAAAAAGGACCTAATAGCACAGTTTTAAAAGACTTTTAAGGAGCCAAAAAATAAATGAGGAGAGCCTTCATTTCACTACAACATTGTAGTGAAATGTATAATCACTAAAAATAAATAAGAAACTCTCAAAGCTTTTAGAGTAAAAGTGCATTACATAGAAAAAAAAAGAATCAGGTTGACATTGGATTTCTCAACAGAAACTTTGGATGCATAAAGTTATCTTTTAAGGCACTGAAGAAAAAAAATCGAACACATGATTTTCTCTATAGCCAATGAGTTTTTGAAGCCCAAAAGTGAAGAAAAAAATATTAACAAGGATCCTTTTTGAAAACACGATTGGATTAAGTATTCCAATAAGAAAAATATATCACCAGGAAAATGTTATTTGATATGGGAAATGAGGATAAGTGAGTTAGAAAATTTCATTCTCATTTAAATAAATAAGAATAAGGACTAAAAAAAAGAGAGATAAAAATTATATCTATAATAATTCAAAACTAAAATTTTAGACAATACCAATATGATGTGTATGGTATAAGGGGAGAAGCATAGAGAAAAGGGATAGGTGAGAATGTCCTAAGGAAAATGTCTTGTTTGAGAAAATATAGAGATATTGATAAGTTTAAGAAATTGTTAGGAAAAGACCACTCACTTCATGAGGCTATTTAACATTGATTCCAGAAACCAATGAGAATAAGAAAAGAAAACTATAGGCTAATTTTACTTGGGAACATAGATATGAAAAAATTTTAAAATAAAACCTAACCAACTCCAACAATGTATTTTAAACACTTGGTAGAATAATCAATTTTCTCTGTTCAAGATTATTTTTTAACTGATGGGCGCTTTAGGGACCCACTTTCTTAAAGAGATAGCCCAGAGGAAAACTCGAATATGTGTTCTATTCCTCCATTCCTCATCTTTTCCTCTTCTAAAGTCATATAGAGATCACTTAGCCTAAGCCTCACATTTTATTTAAAATAATATTGAAGATCAAAGGTGATATGACTTATCTAACATCATTTAGTAAATGAATTTTTGAAGAAGGATTTAAATTCATTTTTTTTTTGGCTTCCAGAGCAGTGTTCCTTCCTTTTTATTACCCAGCCTTTCTGCTAATGGTCTCTAAGTAACTCATCCTAAGCATTATTAACTTGTAATGTCCTAATGTAGCAGTCAACTTATTTTTTAATTAATTAATTAATTAATTTCAAGTGTTCTTGTAATCAGTAAAAGCCATCTTTGTCCTGAAAGTATGAAAATGACTAGGAAATCATCTCTGTCAATCAATCAGTCAACAAGAGTTTATTGAGTCCCTAATTTATTTAAGGAATTGTATTATGAACTAAGACATACAAAGAAATATGGACTTGGCTTTTAATTAAATGAATTTGTAGTCTAGTTGAGCAAACAGAATATAACATACAGTTCCTTGTATCATTAGTTGCTTATTTAAGCCTAAAGGCCAAATGAGAGCAGTGCTCACTAGGACATTCTGAAGAGTTCTCTGGCCTGGGAGGGTCAGGGAATGTTTGCTAGAGGTAAGTGGTCTCAGGAATCTCTGCTTTGTGCCATCAAAGGAATGTATTTACCACTTTTCCCAGCCTGCCTGTCACCAGTAGAATTTACACAATGAGGAAGGAGCTTGGGTTTCAAAACAAATTCTTTCTGGGTGGACTTGAGCAAGGGCCATCTGATGTGAGAAATACTTGTGGCTCCCTTGCCTAGGAGTCTCATTCCATCTTAGACCTCTAGGAGGCAGATGTAAAGGTCAGGATCTTAAAGAAAGGCATAAAAGTTATTTGTTTTCACACTACTTTTTAAAAGGCCAAATTCAGTCGGCTTAGTTAGAGCTTGCCTTGATGTGAAAGGTATAAAACATTCTGTGGTGGTAGTTGCAGTTCTACCACAGAATCAAGACACCTGCCTCTCAGCTTCATGCATCTGCTGCCTCAACCCAGAAGCGAAGATCAAGGCTCCTGTAGATCACAGGAACAAAAAGATTTGCTAACGACTAGTGACATCTGTATGCATGCTATCTGTGGGGTTGTACCAGACTGCAGTGTGAATGCAAGTCCCATTTCTGGTTCTTTGATATGTCAAAGGCAGAAAAATGATTTAAGAAAATGTCTGACTCCAGTCAGACTAGGCCAGAGTTCTCTACTTTTCATGTCATCCCTTCCACCAATAACTGTGACTAAAGCTGGATCTTATGTCAGTGGAAACTCAAAACTCACTTTTTATAACATTTTGTTTTTTTTTTATTTCCTGGCATGTTGCCATTTTAGTTATTACAGAGCTTTAGTGACATCATAGATAGTACTGTTGTTGATAGTAACTGTAATTGCCATGGCCTTAAATTAGCAAAACTGCTAATTTCACTAGTCATTGAAATTGAAATAATCCTGTTGACTATAAATCTTTCACTGTTATAGTAACTGTAAAGCACAAAGATAAAATTTATAGTAACCATAAAGTACAAAGATAAAATTTAAATGATAACATTATTGGCAGAAAAGAGCATATCATTCTTGCAAGTTGTTTTGTGTGCCTAGTTCCTTTAGACATTTTGAAGGCTAAATTTCCCCGTATAAACAGCCATGTTCAGCTTTTTGAATGATGTAGATTCAAGGCCATCTTTCACGTGGCCTTGGTAATGCCTTCTTGTTGTGCCGATAAAGAATAACCTTAAGGCCAGTATATCTCCGAGATAAAATTCACTGCTCACAAGCATTGTTAAAAAAATCTCTTCAAGTGGTAGGTGCCAATCCTTGATAGTTTCTTT